TGAAAAAATGACTTATCTAGATTTAGATTGTTTCCACTGCAGGTTGACCCTGAGCTGTGTTTGGTGCCTGTTAGTTTTTCATGGGTCCCTGCCCCCCTATAATTTCTTTCTGGAACTGCCACTGGATGAATGATGGGTTTGTTGATATTGGGAGCATAAATCATAACCTCCTGATTTTCAGCTGCATGGATTAGATTAGTGATCTGTATAATTAGGCTGTGTTGATAGATGTCAGTAAGGTAGACATCACACTGCAAAAACATCATAGAAATAAGTACAAATGTCATAAATTAAGCATATTAACCCTTAATTTGAGCAGGTAAATAAGATGATCTGCCAATCAAATTAGTATTTTTACAATAAGATTTAAAATAAGATAATTAGATAATATGCACTTGAAATAAGACAATGCGATTGTTTTTTCTTATTTTAAAATGTAAATTGTTTTCTTGAATTGAGAAGATTAGTGCTGCACTTTCCCAATAGAACAAGATAAACACTTATTTTAAGAAAAAATGACTTATTTAGATTAACATTTTTTGCAGTGCACAATAGAGTCGAATGAGGAAAACGATCCTCTGTTCAGTCCTTCTGCATGTGTTTGTTTAATTCCACATAAATGTAAGAATCATAGAGTTAATTTTTTTACAAAGGAAAGTTTCGCAAGAGAAACAGTAACTGAATATTAGTTAATATCTGAACTTTGTTTTCAATTTTATTAATTAGTCAATTATTAAGCAATCTTGTTGCTATTTGGACAATTTTCAACTGGGGTTACTCAATTCCATTCAATCAAAAGTCAAAATTGGGGGAACAAAGTCAGAATTCTGAGATTAAAGTCAGAATTCTGACTTTTTTCTCATATTACATTGAAAAAACAATTTAAAAATCAGTTAACATATTTTTTTTTTTCCACTGGCCCTAATCCTCTTCCAAAGTTTTGTTTGTTATCTTTGCATGTTAATTTCTTCCTTTTGGGGGTTGTGTGTGATAAAGGAAGAACAAATCATTCCTGTCTGTATATCCTGTGGAATTGATGTCTAGCCAGACTATGCTGTATCTATTGTAATGAATAGATAACAACTTAGAAACACGGGCTCAATTCTCCATTTTAAAATGCAACTCAAAACTCATCTTTTTAAGATTGCGTATTCTCTTTAAATATCAATTTCACTGTCACAGCCTATGTATTTTTTAAATGTTTTTATTTTGTTTCTGACAATGTGTTTTTTATGCTTTTGTACGGTGACCTTGAGTGTCCAGAAAGGCGCCTTTTTAAATAAAATGTATTATTATTATTATTATTAGATAGCTGGAGAATATGACTGGTGTATTGTTTAACAGTGAAAATAACAAAAAAAAAATTGAATTGAAAAAGTCTTTTCACCACAATAATTACGATTAACAACCACAATTATGTTTTTAAAAAGTTGTTTTTAACAATAAGTTTTATAGTTAATCCAGGAAAAATAGCAGTTTAAATGCAGCATGATGAACCATCATTAATTAGATTCATAGATTTAAACTTCCTGCAAAAAACTGCATCAGAACCAATTTCCTCTATTTTCTATAACATGTGCAAAACATGTTACATCATCTGATTCTTTTTATTACTGAGATTAAATGAGTCAGACATGAATAATTACCATAATAAGTGTAGCACAGGCTCAGTTTGGTTCTTTTTCGTTTTAATTGTTAGCTTTTACTTCGCACAATCCTTGACTCTGATTGGAGAAGTTCACTTCCGGCTGGATTGGGTCAGAGGTGAATCTGGGTCAGCTGCGTCCTTCCCTGAGGGA